GAGGACGTGGCCGGATTTGAAGGACAGTTCCAGGTGTCCTGTCACAGTCTTCCCCGGTCCCCGGTCGTAGATGGAACTGCATCACCTCAGAGCAGGAGTGCTTGGGGCGCCCCTTTCCTCGCCATCCGTCACTGGCAGATTACCTGGACGCAGATAAAATGTAGGGACATAATTGTACCCTCCTCTGGGGAGCACGACCTTTCTTCACTGCTGGCCTAATCTGTGGGGTGGGAACCCTGCTATGCTTTTTTTTTTCTTTCTTTCTTTTTTTTTTTAGAGGTGTTTGCCTTGCTGGAGAGAGAGAGACCATGAGAGGGAAAGTGAGAAATCACCCTCCCAGCAGGGATGGCCACGTTTCAATCCCTTCTCCTCCATTTTCTTCCTGGGATCTTGGGCATGCACACACACATATCTATTGTGATTGTCAAGTTACCGGGTCAGGGACTTGAACCACGGTCAGCCATGTGGGAGTCTGGCAATGTAACTGCTATGCCATCTGTCGGCCCCCTGCTATGCTTTCTGGAAGAAATTTGAGGCTCACTACTGCAACTTATTGAGCATTTACCATGTGCCAGGAATCGTGCCTATCCCTTTACTTAGCCGCATTGACCAATGACAGGGTAGTACCATCTTCTCTCTACTGCCAAAAAAACTAATTCAGGGGACCAGCAGGTGGTGTGGTGGTTAGGGCACTGGACTCCCACATAGGCAACCATGGTTCAAGTCCTGGACCTGGCGGCTTGAAAGTCACCCGGGGGGGTGTGTGTGTGTGTGTGTGTACCCAAAATACTGAGAGGAGAATAGAAGGGAAGGGATTGCAGTGTGGCCATCATCCCTGGGGGTTGATTTCTCACTTTCTCTCTCTGGCAAGCTCACTACACGATGGCAAAAAACAAAATAAAACAAAACAAAACAAAAACAAAAACAAAAACCAATAAGTAAAACCCACACCCTAATTCAGATTTACAAACACTATGATGTAAGTTACGTTCGTCCAGCTATGAAGCGGCAGAACTGGAAAGTGAGCTCCGTCCCTGATTCAAAAAGCTCATCCTCTCTTTTCTATGCTGCTGCTTGAACTGGTGAGCGGCCCTGCAGCGTGGGCAGCCTCCCGTTTTCTAACACTCCCCTGAATCTCCAAGGCCACATAATGGTATCGCTGGTATAAAACATCCTGCCTGAGGATGAGCTAAGGTTTTTGAAGGCTGTCTCATCTAGCAATGGCTTTATTTAAATTCTACTTGGGGTTTTCAGTCATTTCATGATATGTTACATAGAAAATCCAGGTGTTATGGGCAATTTTTTCTTTTCTTTTTTCTTTTTTTGGGTCGATGGGCATGCAAGATTGCCAGAGACAGAGATGAGCGAGCACCCTAGAGGGGAGGATGTTTTCACACCACAACCCCTATCTTTTCCATCTCTCCCTTCTTTTAGGATTTGGGGCCTTCAAGCCCCTGTGTTTGCTGTGTTCCTCAAACTGCCAGGTCCAGGACTCAAACTACAAGGTCAACTATGTGGCATCCCACTGCCTTAACCGCTAGGCTACAGAGCCAGCTGGTGCGTCAATTGAAAATAGTCTCCAAATACTACTCAGCCATGTAGTTTGACCAGTGAAACTAACACAGAAGGCCTAACACCTGGAAACAAATCCTTTCTCCTGAGCTTGCAATTTAAGAATGACTGAATTACCTAGTTTTAAAGAGGTATATGATGTAACAAACGAACTCAATATTATTTGATAGTCTGACTCGTTTCCAATGTACCCTTATGTCCTTCTGCTGCTGCTATTTTCTAGGCTTTTAGAGGAGCTGATAGAAACCTGGACGGACACGTGCTGCTCACGGTACCCATTGACTGGAGGTCATCATTGAGATCAATAATTAACATAGCATTCCTCAAAAGTCAAAGGCTAATTAACAGGAAGGCTGTGTGTATTCTCATTCAAAAAACCCCACTGCTAACCCTCTGAGCTGCCACTCTGTTCCGTATAAGTGTGGAGGAGACAAGACTTACGATCAATAAGATAAAATATCCTGGTCTCTTTTTTTTTTTTTTTTGTCTTGGAGAGGTTTTTTGCTATAGGGCGCTTGTGCTCACCAGACAGACAGAGACAGATATAGAGACAGAAAGTGAGACATCCCCTCCCAGGCGGGATGGCCATGCCGCAACCCCTTCCCCTCCATTCTCTTCTCACACACGTGCCTGGCATGAGTTTAAGCCACTGGGTCCGGGACTCGAACCGCGGTTGACTACATGGAAGTCCAGTGACATAGCCATTATGCTAACTGCTGGTCCCTAAATATCCTGGTCTCTTAAGAAGTACCATCGATCATCGATCAATAGAGCTGTCATTGGAGCTAAGTGACAGGCACTGAGACTGGTCCTTTACATATCAACTTTAAACATTACAACATTCCTACTTCTCCTTTTTTTTTTTTTTTTCGGTTTTGCTAAAGAGTGCATGCGCTTGCCAGAGAGAGGAAAATAAGCAATCATCCCTCAGGGGTGATGGCCCCACCACAATCCTCTCTTCCATTCTCCTCTTGGGATTTGGGGCACACATGTGCCTGGTGTGCTTTATCAAGGCCCAAGTTCAGGACTTTGGACTGTGAAGTCAGCCATGTGGGAATGTGGGATCCAGCTTTCTTTTTTTTTAGAGATTTTTTTGCTATAGGGCGCGTGTGCTCGCCAGACAGACAGAGAGAGACAGAGAGACAGAAAGCGAGAAATCATCCCCCAGGGGGGATGGCCACTCCACAACAGGATCTTGGGCATGCACACACACGCACCTGGCGTGAGTTTGAAGCCACCGGGTCCGGGACACGAACCACAGTCAACTATGTGGGAGTCCAGCGACATAGTCATTATGCTAACTGCTGGTCCCGGGGATCCAGCTTTCCTAACCTCCAGCCACCGGCCCTACTTTCTAAGTTATCCCCACTTAGCAGATAGGAACACTGGCTCTGAGAAGTTACCTGTTTTGTCATTGCTGAGAGCATTTTGGATAAGGTACATTGAGATGCAAAGCTGGGTCTAAAGGGCTCTCAGCTTCCTGCTATGTCCACCCACCATGCTGTGTCCTAAAAGGCTTCTTATCTGGTGAAGGACCCCCTCAGGTGTGGGCAAGCTAAGAGGGGCAAGGCATAAAAGGCACTAGCTGCTTTGCGACTTCATGGAGGAATTAGCATTGGCTTTTTTCTTTATTTTTATTATGTATTTTATTATTTAATTTATTATTACTATTTATTTTTATTATATATTTTTGCTATAGGGCATGTGTGCTCACCAGAGAGAGGCAGAGAGAGAGAGAAAGAGAGAGCAAGTCACCAGGTCCAGGACTCGAACTGCCAGCACCTTAACCACCACACTACCACACTGGCCCCAGTGTAGTAGTCTCTTAAAGAATAGTTAGAGTATGCCAGATAGAAAGTGGGCAAAGGACACAGTAGTAGCTGGTAGAAAGTTCCGGAGGCATGAATGGCATGGCAGGTGTGGTGGGAAGTGGCAGGATGAGAATGAAGTGGCGGTCAGAGCCACCGATTCTGTGTGACAGAATTTGTGACGGAATGTGTCCAGGACAAGTGAATCATCAAGTGTCATTAGCAGGGCTGAGATACAGTGAGGTGGCTGATTTAGAAAGGGCAGTCTGCAAAGGATGGAGGTGGAAGAGAGATCCTGGGATAAAAGGGGCTGGATAGAATCAAAGAATGGGAAAATTGATTAAAAAGAAGATTAAAAAAGCAAAGATGGGGGCCTGGCAGGTGGCGTAGGAATTGAGGTGCTGGACTCCTATGTAGCCGACTGCTGTCTGAGTCCCGGACCTGGCAGCCTGCTTTCTCACTTTCCCTTTCTCTCTTTGGTCAAATTAAAAAATAATAACAAATAAAATTAAATAAATAAATAATTCTTTAAAAAAAAAGGCGAAGATGGGTACAATCACCTTCATTGGGAAACAAATTTAACAGTGAAGAAGAGAGCAAAGTCCAGAAAAATGAGTTTGTACTCATGGGAGCCTTCCTGCACTAGCTGCTGTGCTCAGTCTAGCATGAGGCATCTCACTAAAACCATACAACTGGTCAGTGGAAACAAAGTGTTTATTATTCCAATTGTGCAGAGGAAAAACGTTATGTGAGTGGAAGGTTCAGGAATAGCTGGTAAATTGTAGAAAACTTAAACCCAGGCAGTTCTACTGCATAATCTTTGTTATTTTTAAGAATTATTTATTTTATTTATTATTACATTTTTTTCCCCTCAATTTGCCATAGGGTACATGTGCTCACCAGAGAGACGCAGAGAGAGAAAGTGAGAAGACAAACTGCCAGGTGCAGGACTTGAGCTGTGTTTGGCCATGTGGGAGTCCAGCTTCTTAACCACCAGGCCACCTGTTGGCCCCTATTATTTATTTAAGAAATTTTTGCTATAGGGTTCATGTGCTTGCTGGAGACACAGAGAGACAGAGACAGAAAGAAATCATCCCCCCGGGTTGATGGCCACGCTGCAATCCCTTCTTTTCTACTCTCATCCTGGGATTCTGGGCACATATGTACATGTACCCAGCATGGTTACAAGGCACCAGTTCCAGGACTTGAACCACAATCAGCCAGGTGGTGGTCCGATACCTTAACCACTATACCACCGGCTAGCCCAGGTCCCTGTTATTTTTAATATTACATCTCAGAGCTCCCTGGATGAGTCCAAGGTTTTCATTAAGATGGGACTAAAAAGATGAAAAGGTATTGAGGGTGTTATTGAGATTTGTCAGGTAACATTTTTATTTTGAATTTTCTATACGCTATCCAGGTCTAGGAATCCAGATTCCTAATACCTGGAAAGAAGAGAAAAGGAAACTAAACATCAAGAAATGATTGTTCTGGAGGTACACAGGGTGACATTGTTCAGGGGAGGCATAAACAGTGCAGGACAGTGACGAGGATGAATGTGCAAGGCCAGTCTCCCCCTTGGAAATAAAGGAACACACACACAACCTTCAGCAACACCAGTCCAGCAACTCATGTAGTCTTTATTTCCGATTATGCCTTTCGTGACTATTTGTGCTAGCGTGGGAAGGATTTATTTGCCCGGCTTCCCCAAATCATTGCCTTGTTGAAGTGAGAAGAATTGTCCTCCCAAACTGTGGCTTCAAAAAGCCCTGGGTGCTTCTTAAAAGTTAGCTTTTAGGACACTACTGGTGTTCGCATATTTGTCAAAATGGTATCTCAAAGCATTCACATTTTAAAGTGATTGTGAATGACTATGTTTTCAACAGGGAAGAATGATATTGTCAAAATGAGAAGTGAAATAGGTCCTTCCAGAGTTTTCTCCTTGTCCTCCTGGTCCCCTTCCCCCATCTCCTCTTCTTAGGGCAACACCTTTGCCAGCTGTGGGGCACAGCCGATCGATCCCAGGGGACACTGCCTGAGGGGCAGAAAATGTCGCTGTGGGATGCAGCCTCTGGGGGTTTCACTGAGAGGGGCCCAGGAATTCTATTTCACCGTTGGCCTTCCAAAGTGCAATTGTGGGGGGCAAGGGTGGGGTCGGAGTTGGGGGCAGGTACTCCCATGAGCATCGTTTAGCAAGCACGTTTCCTGACTTCCAAATAGCAGGAAGAGATCCCCTAATAACCATCTGGCAGTCAGAGACATTCCACCAGGAAGGAGCAATTCCAGGCGACTGGTTAAATGCCACACTTGACAGTTTCCCCCTAAGGGGTGCCCTGAATGGAGTGTCCTCTGTGGAGTGAAAGGGCGAGGGGGAGCTTGAGAAGGGGCCTTTCTGACACAGCCTCAAAATTCCTGCATCGTCACCTCCCAGGCAAAACTGAGCAGTGCCAAGGGCAGGGCTTGGAGAGCAGTTCCTGGTGACGCCATCACATTTTGTACAGCTATGTACGTGTCTCTTTTTGGTCATGGCAAGGTCTATTGGCACAAACGGCACAGCCACAAAGTATTCTTTTGATTTTAATAACGCATCATATATATTTATATATATATTTTATATTTCTGCTTATCTTCATTTCCTCAGCAAAAAGGGAAATAAAAATATTGATCTATAAAATAAGCGGATGATAACACGATGCCAAAAATAGCTTATGTTAAGTGCACAGGGTGAAGCTCGAAAGCAAGCTGGATTGCAACGACATATTGATTTAACATTTTAAATACAAGACTTGCAATAAAATAATTCTTGAGATACGCTTCTCGTTTTCAGTTGACTTTTTCAAAACTACTCTCTCTACACAGCTCCAGTTCTAACACTCGACAGCATCATGGGGCATGGGGTAACTTTGGTACACGTTGCAGGTATGGATGGTTAATGTCTCTAAATGATATTTCTCCACCACTTAGCGTTCTGTACAGCCAGGTGACCAGCCACCTGGTCCCACATTCTACCCCCAGAACTCCCAGAGTCCGTCCCACAGCCTGGCCACAGCGGGAGCGAGCAGCTCACTGGATCCAGATGGTGTTTCCTCTCTCGGTTCTCCGGGGTTCCACTGTCAGCTCCCCGAACGTGGAAAAGAACTGCTCCATTTCTTTCTGCAGCATGTCATTTCTTTTCTCGGCATCTTCCTTGGCTCGCTCGGCGTTTCGCATTTTGATTTCTATCATCGTGAACTTTTTCCTTTCTTGATCCAGTTCATCGTGGAGACTCATCATCTCTGTTTCCAAAGTCAAGTTTCGCTGTTCTAAGCTACAAAAGATGGG